ACTCTGTAGACCAGGAGAGCCTCGAACTTAAAGATGATATTTCTCATTCAACCTACTACACAGGGGATTTGAGGACCACATGGTTCCATGTTCATAGGACAGAGTACCCCAGGTGATGAAGTCACCACAGGTTATGTTCGTGCTCATCTGGACTGAGTCAGCAACAGCCTGACTCAGGTGGTGGATTTCCAGAGAGTGCATCTCTGATGCAATCTCCTTCTCTCATGTTGCCTGCATGGGCAGAGAGTCTAAGATCCTTAGAGGAGGTGAGCCGGGGGTCCAACTGCCCCCCCCCCAATGTGGACAATCAGAGTTATATCAGGCTTGAAAATGGGAGAGAAGATGAGCCAACCAGGAAAAGGTAGAAAACAATTCTGACACCATTTGAACAACAGGGAGGGGCTGCATTGAGCCCAAGTGCAAAGATACAAAGCCCACTTGTCTCTTGCTGGGATCCTGGCTGCCAGCAATTCAGTCACTGGATGGGGCCTGTCAGCCTGGGCTCAGGGGAGGACACTGGACATCACTTGGAAAAACACAATGAATTCATGCACTTACCAGCTGCTTCCCTGGTCCCATTTCTGCCTCCAAACCACCTCACCAAAGCACTTCTTCAGACTTCCTAGCAAAACCCACTAATCCCAAAGTAAAATGGGATAATTATAAACCAAGGATGAAGCATCACTAAAGAACTTGCCACATTCTTTAATGCCCACAGGGAGGATGCCCACTGTAGATACTTTTACCTCTGTTGTAAGGGGAAATGTACATTTCCCTCCATGGTGGGGGGGGGCAAAATGGTGGGGTTTTGCTTTTTCTTTTTTGTTTTGTTTTGTTTTGTTTTGTTTCCTGAGACAAGGTCTCTTGCTGAGTAGACGAGGCTGGCTTCCAACTAATGGCAATTCCTCTGCCTCAGTCTCTTGAGGGATGAGACTGCAGGTGTGTATGTATTAGCACATCCAACCCTCCACTGAAATACTAAGTACTTCTTGTCCTCAGAAATACAGGCCAAGGGTCAAGTTCAGTAAAAGAAATTTCAAAGTCCTGGATCACACTTTTATCTACTTATCTACCTATTATTTTTTTAAAGACAGGATCTCTCTATGTAGTCCTGGAAGGTCTTGAACTCATAATCTTCCTGCCTCTGCTTCTCCAGTGCTAGGAATATAGCATGTGCTACCCACATGGAGCTTTTTTCATTTCTTGAATGTACTAAAAATCCTTTATAAATAAAGGGCTATGGTCGTTATGTTATTACATTGAGTATTTCTGGAAATAAGCTAATAGTTGGAAAATGTTTTCTTTATAAGAAAATTTGATATTGAGAGAAATGAAATTCTTACTGTCAACTCCTTTGGTTTGTCTCTCCAAATCCATCATGAGAAATGACAAGTTCATTAAAAATTTCAGCTACTATGGTAGCAGTATCACACTGAGGACCATAACAGAAATCCTGTTAAGTTTTTAAGGGAAAGGTCCTCACCCTATCCCCCAGGCTGGCCTTGACCTCAACATCCTCCTGCCTCAGCCCTCCCACTGCCAACAAGCTAAGAGATGCCACTTGTCAGTCGGTGCCCATTTTCTTTACCTTGTTACCTAAAATTGCTTCCCTTTTCTCTAAAGATAGCCATTGTCCAGTATCTTTATTCTGACAGGAAAGCAACATAACTCCTTTTGCAGTACTGGAGGCAAAAGATTTTCCCTATCTTCCTTCTCCCCATAGAACACACCTTCTTTCTTTGCCAACTCTCGCTCAACATAGCAGCCATCCAATGACTCAGACCGACATCCCAAGTCTATTTAATGTCACCAGCTTCTTCTTTCCATTTAGCCAATCCGGCCATGTACCTCCATAAACAATGAGAAAAGTCTCCGTTTTCTCCCTATTTAATAAAGGTAATATTGATGATTTCAGTTCCTTCCTCTCTTATGACAGTGTCCACACAGTCCTGTGATTATAAAGTTCACTAGCCCTACTTTCTCTATTGACCAGATGTCCTTTTTTCCACTGCCATGTGTCTTGTGGGAAGCATGTGTGTGTAAGCATAGTCTCTGATGGGTGAGTAGACCAGTTAGGTAACTGATGGCCACAGAGTCACCTGAGCCTCTGCCTATTCACTGGGTGCTAACTACAAGCCAGGTACCACCATTCCTGGGGGTGCTGCTAAAAATCTGAGAGTTGCTGACACCTCCTAGCTTCATGTTTTAGTGTATGAGCAGACAGTAAATCTCAACAAATAAGGGGCTTGACACACAGAGGTGTGAGCCAGGATGGTGGTTGCTTATGCTTGAGGGCCCTCAGAAGGGACTGTCCGGGGAAGAGTTATCTGAAGACCTGGATAACCAAAGAGAATTGGATTTAACATCCAGGAAGCACATTCCATAAGAGGGAGGCTCAAGTGCCAAGGCCCTGAGTCAAACTGAGCTTGCAGAGTTCAAAAAACAGAAATGATGCCAACATAGCTGGAGGGAAAAGGGATGCCAAGAGGTAGAAAGAACATGGATCTCGATGCACAGGGCATGTTAAGCTATGACCAAGAGGTCCTATGTCACTAACCACACCTGGAAAGCATGGAGGACTTACGTTACGGGGGAGGAGCGGTGGCTGCCTAAGGATAGAGAGGGGAAAGAGCAAGGAATTGGAAGGCCACCCAGCAGGCTTGTAGGAAAAAGGAAACATCAAATATAACAGGAAGTGGCGGTCTCAGGACAAACTGGAAGAAGGACAACACTTGGTGATAGAACAAACTTGGGATGACTCTTGGCACCGGGTCTGAGCCTAGCCCAGAGATGACAGGGAGTGGGGAAGGTGCTATCCCAGTGCCTAAGATTAGCTGCCTGTTCTAAGCAGGATGGGATGAAGAGATGCAAGGAAGAGGCCTGCAGGGGTCCAAATCTGGAGACAAAGAGATGCATATCAAAAGAGATAGCATGAACTCATTGGTATCAGGCAGGCAAAGAAACCGCAGAGATCTGACAAAGCAAGAGGGCAGAGTGGACAGAGGTGGGGCCATGGGAGAAAAATCATGAAGAGATGGGATGAGAGGGCTGGACAAGCAAACCCTCCAGGAGTCACTGGGGGCACAAGGTTGAAGTGCTAACATGACATGATGGTGGGTGCCTGTCGTCTGAGCACTCGGGCAGAAGAAGCAGGAGGACCCCGATTTTAAGGTCATCATCCTTTGTATTTGATTCAAGCCAAGCTGCTATTACATGAGACCCTGTCTCAAAATGGGTGTGGGCGGGCACAAGTATTAAATCTGTCAAAACAGAACAGAAGCCGTATGGGTCGAAAGGGATTCCTATTTCCAACTCTCCTTACCCATCTACAGCTTATCTTCAGCATCCAGCCTCTATTCATTACCATTCATTGGTAATTCCCTTATCAATCCTGCTGATGCTGCCACAAACCCATGTAGAGCAGTGACAATGGTGCCCAAGTCTCAAGCAAGCCAAACAGTGTGACACTCTGCCTTCTGCATTCCAAAACCTCTGTGGATCACACTGAAGCTTCAGACAGTAAGTAACAAAGCCTACATATACTATGCTTTTCCTAAACAAACAGAGTTAAGACAAAGTTTCACTCATAAGTTAGGCACCGTAAGTGAATAACAATTGTAATAAAATAACCCAGCCACAACCATATACTTGAGTAAAACTGCCAGGATTATTACTTTTGGGCTTTGGGGCATTAATAAGCAAAACACAAACACAGCACTGCCAAAACCCACAGTCAATCTGATGACCATGATGGCTCCTTAGTGACTGCTGTATACACCAGTATACAGCATGGAATACTGGAAACAAAGAGATGCTCAATGTCCTGGGGGAGAGACTAGGATGGGGAGGTCACCATGCTACTCAGAACAGCATACGAATAATAATAATAATTGGTGAATTACTTGTTCTGGTAGTTTCACTTACTATGTTCATTATCATAGATAACCCAGACTGTGGAGAACAATCTAGGGGAAGGACCACTGTATTTACTGATTGAGTGTTTACTGCAATGCTACAGAATACAACCACCATGAACAAGAAGACTGGAAAGATGGCAAAGAAAGACTCAGTCAGGCACCAGCTCGCCCTTTTTAGTAAGAAGCAGGTAATAGGGTTCAGTCAGAATCCATCTCTGCTACTTCCATTCCACATTTCTGTAACTGCTTCTTTACATGGCAAACAATGAGAAGGAGGAAGAGATCTGTCAATGGCTGTGTTAAGAGAGAGAGAGAGAAGCTGGGTGGTGGCGGCGGCATACGCCTTTAGTCCCAGCACTCAGGAGGCAGTGCTGATCCACTGCCATGTCACACTTAACTCTGGGCAAGGTCCCATGCACACCCACAAGAACATGAGTGTGGAAAGGGGGCAAGGAGTTTTCAGGATCACTGTGAAAAGCTTCTGCGTCTCACAAGCCTCTCAGAAACTCTCTCCAGACTCCTGCATGTCCCTGGACCACAATGACATGGTGTTCAGAACAGCACCTCTTTGAAAAAAATTAAACAGCACCCCACAAGTTCTGAGGATTTTAATTCTCTGACCCCCTTCTTTAGCCTCACTGTTAAAGCATGAACCCATTAAGGATGGGTTCTTCCTCAAGTGAATGCAACTGTGTAATATCTAACTCCATCACAGGTAATGGCACGTTGACAGTGTTAATTACTATTGTGTCTCTCAGATGGTTCCACAACTCAATTTGAATTCAAATCCAGAAGACTGGTAGACTTGAATGGAAGAGAAAGTTCCCTCTGGATTTTGTAAGTGACACTCTGCAATGACTTCAACTGGAGGTAGGCCCTAAGCCATGGCTGGATTAGCAGAACCTGTGGCATCCCCACCAACAGGCACTTTCTGATCCTATCTGGAAATTACCCATATATGCATTCATCAATAAGTCAAAATTTATTGTAACTATTGATGTTACGTTGTTATTTGATACACTGATAAAGGGCATGGGATCAAATATGAGAAGTAAATTGAAAAATATTTCAGTACAATGAGTCTCATTTTCAATCCTCTGTATTTTATTTGATGATGTACTCAGAAATTTCATCCTGTGCAAGGGATCCCAGAGCATCACCAGATTGCCAAAGAGCTTTATGTAATCCTGATGCCAAGAACCCGAGAGTGAAGCAATTCACTTTCCCTCTCTAAGTACCAACTTCCTCTTTTTAAAGTAAACTGGAGCCACTGGGGTTAGCTCAGTTGACAGAGTGGTTTCCTAACATGCACAAATCCTTGGGTTCAATCCCCAGCATACATGTTGTACCAGGTGATGTTACATGCTTGGAATCCTGGCACTTGGGGTGGAGAGAATCAGGAGTTCAAGGTTGGACTGGGCTACAACATACTTGTCTCAAAAAAGGAAATTAGAGCTGGATTTGTTGGCATACACCTGTAGTCCTATCATTCAGGAGGCATAGTGAAGAGGATCCTAAGGCCAGTCAGGGCAACTTATCTCAAATTTAAAGGAAAGGGGGGTAGGAGGCTGAGGAGAGGGGCTCAGGGACTGAAGGGATACACAGTTCTTGCAGATGACCAGAGCTCAGGTCCTAGTATCCACATCAGGCAGCTCACAACCACCTGGAACTCCAGCTCCAGGGGGGATCCAACACCTTGTGACTTGCAGGAACACCTGCAAGTGTGTACACACACACACACATATAAACATCATTACAAATAATAAAAATAAATACTTTAAAAAAACGAAACAAACAAACTGGACCACTCACCATGAAATCCCCTCCCTGATGTCACATCCCAGCCTCAAGAGTACTGTGCCCACGGTGAAGCAGGCTGGCATGAGCAGGTATGGGCTGAGTACACCAAGAAAGACCCCAAATCTGGCTTAGATCCTCAAATGTAAGGATCTGCCTGATGCGTGAGTCTAACTGGGGCAGGCATAACTAAAGTGTTGGAGGGCTAACTATGATGGCCAGTGTTTCCCTCCAAAGACTTACTATCACACTATAGCTATAGATACTGGAAATCGAAACGTGCATCAGTGAACTGTTTTGCAAACAGGCTGCAAAGAATATAATCTTTGCTCTTGACATAAATGGCTGTGCAGAAGCTGAGTTAAAATATACTTAAACTAAGTGTCATGATGCATGGTAGATAATGCTAGCACTCCCAGGGCTAAGGCAGGAGGATGAAGAGTTCCAGGCCTGCCTGAGTTACAAGTTCAAGACCAGCCTGGACAACCTACCAAAACTAAGGAAAATGAAAATGTTCTGGGAATATAGCTCAGCAGTAGAACCCTTTCCTAGTACTCAAAAGGCCCTATGTTCGTTCAGTCACCAGTACTGCAAATAAATAACATCGAACAAGAAAAGTGAAGGAAAACATAAAGGTGCCTGGCTTCAGAGAATAGCATACTAATTCCTATGTACTTAGCACTTCTGGTAAGTCGGCACTCAGTTCTAAGCACCTCTTTCTGGAATACTAATGTTGAGTATTAAACTACTTACTGTAAAGAATTAAGTCTATCAAGCCTCCTTTCTGGATAACACAGATGTACACAGTGACCATTTAGGTTCACCTAACACTAAAGGCAGAACTAGTATTGTATTTAAGAACTAAGGACTCTAAGACATGTCAGTCCCTATTGAAAAACAACCAAGAGGGAACCAATCAGAGGTGACAGTGTAAACCTGTTACCTTTCCCAAGCACAATTCAAATGCAGATCACAGTTGGTCCTCACAGCAAACCTTCCCTGAGTGACAGCCTCCTCTGCAGCACACAACCACAGCTGGGGTCACCAAAAGCCTCAAGATGGCTACTGGGTAGCTTCCTTCATCTGCGCTCAGAAGTGACATCATCCTAGGGCAGTGCAGCCACAGCAGTACACCCAAGGATATTCAAACAACCTAAGGAATGTTTCCTTCCTTCCACAGAAAATAGTGGGGACTCTGGCTTCTTCCTGTAAAACCCGTAGTGGGACAAGTCAGACATCAAAGTTTAACCAGAGAAAACTGTGCTAAATGTCTAGGAAAGTTATGTTACCCTGTTTTACAAGAGGACTTCAACATCAAGGAGCATACCACTGAATACACTTAGAGAGGCAACCCCTTGCCCAGAGCAGACATGTTCCAACTCCCAGTGCATCTGAAAACCCTGTACATACTCAGCATATATGCCTATGATAGTTCAATCTATAAATTAGGCACCTTAAGACATGAACAGTAACTAATAATAAAAGATTATAATAATGTGTCAAAATGTAAGTTATATGAATGGGTTCTCATTCTCTCTCATATCCCATTTCATATTTGGGCCTCAGCTGACTATTGACAACTGTAACTGCAGAGAATGACACTGTAAGGGGGACTACTGTTTATCTGACAAAACTTTCTGACTGGCAGAAATAAAAAACCATAACCTTCTTTTGCAAGAATTCTTCCCCTCGGGAGACATAAACAAACACATACCCCCTTTTTATAGGGCACTAATGACAAACCAATGTATGATTCCCTCAAAGTCCAACTTGGGGAAACCAATGAGTTCACTGGGCTTACTTACTGAGCATGAGAAGAGTAGGTGACATCAAAGTCTTCTTGGTACCAGAAAATCTCACCCCAGCATGGAAGGCGGACTTCCCCTTTCAGTTACCCTTGCACCCTCCATGTATGTACAATTGGGGCAGAATTAATACAACTAACCATGCTGGGCATGGTGGTATGCCTTTAATCCCAGCTCTTAGAAGGCAGGTTCAAAAACATCAGTTTGAGGCCAGCCTGGTCTACAAAGTGAAGTTCCATGGCAGCCAGGGCTAGACAAAGAAACTCTGCTTCAAACAAACAAACACCTAGTCAGAAGGTATGGGAGAACAGGGCTGGTGGGATCCTACAAGAGAAACCAATGACCCCCACCCTCTCCTCCTACATCAGCAGTCAATAATCTGCAACAAAGTAGGTATGAGCCTTGGTGAAGAGCAGCAGGAGTAGATCTGAAGGAAGCAGTGGGCAGATTTGAACCCCAAGGGAAAGGCTAGAGAGGCATGCAGTGTTGGCAGTGTCCTGTAGTTGGGGGTCAGGGCACGCAGAAGGGAGCAAAGCCCCACAGGATGACTCTCCATGGAACACTGCACCACAGAGATGAGTGGATTGTCTACTGCAGAGTTCACAGAAGGGGAGTGAAGGGAAAGGACTCCATTATGGGAACTCTGAGAACTGGCTCCTTCGGGCCCTTCTGTAGCCAGGATGGCTTCCAAACACAAGAGCACAAGGACTCAACATCCACATCTGCCTGAATCCGCTGTGTCTAGTGAAGTATGTGTCTCAGATTGCACCCTGGAACAACTTTGTTGAGATCTGCCCCAAAGACTTTCAACGACCTCTGATAAATAAGCAAAACCCTGAGCACAGAAATATTGGAGCACAGGGAAATATTGGAAACATTCTTACTCCCATGCCATACAGCAAGCACACTGTCGGAAACATACTTGTTGGAAACAACTTTCATCCTAGGCAAAATTAGAAAAGGCCTTTTAAAATTAGCGGTTACCGCTAAACATGCTTTTACTAATTAATTAGTACTCTATATTGCTCAAATAAATGAATTCCCTCTTTTTTATGCAAGAGAGAACCCAAGGCTTTGGACATGATATATGATTGACGCACCCATCCCTTCATCAATTTTACAGTATTTCACTTACACAACGACCAGCTACTTACAAGCCGGCATCTGGCCAACAGTCCTACCATTAGTTTGAGGGTTAAGTCAAGACCCGATGATCTGGGGCTAAAGAAATCTCACCCAGCCATGTGACCTGCAGCCATGTGGAGGCGCAAAAAATTCTAAAAGAAAAGCCAAATTTCACACACACACACACACACACACACACACACACACACACAAAGGTATATGTGCAGGCTGTCAGACTGCATCAAATTTAAATAATATACTAAAGACGAAAGGGGAAACCTGAGTCACGGTTACGGAGGCACATAGGACTTATGTCTGAAAGAAGTCTAGATGTCACAACAGACTAATTACTTAAGGCAGTGTTTCTGCGGGCCCGGGAGGTGGTGAAAAAGAGGCGTGCTGAAGGGAGTGAAGTAAAGGATTGCATTTCAAACCTGCCAAGTGAATGAATCCCAGAGAAAGTGATACAATTCTCAAACAACACACTTGTTTATTCCTTTAAAGTCTAATTGTCATGTCAATTGTCCGGCCAAAGGTGAGTGCTTCCCACCTGACTTCCTTCAATCAAAAGTGAAAGTGGAAAGTTTTTCCACCTGGGTCCACATAGCCACGGTTTCGGATCCAAACCAAGAGGACAAACAGATCAACAACCACGGGGCTCTGGGGTACCGCGAATGCCACGCGCCAGCGCGGGACCTAGCTCTTTCTTTCCCCTCAGGGAAGCTGTGTCACACCTCTCTATCCACTCTAGTAGGTCGGATGGGTGTCCTCACACATAGCCCCAGGACCCCCTGCCCTCCTTCCCACGTCACACACTCTGTGTCTCTTCCATCATCTCCACTCGCAACTTCGGCTTCTCATTCTGTTTGGGACTGCGGAGGGGACTGCAATCCCAGGGAGGGAAGGAGGGGCACTCTGGGGCTTCAGAGTCGGATCTGGGAAAGGGCAGGCGCAGAGCGCACCATCCCACGTGCGACCCTTGCTGGCCACCTACGGCAAAGGGGACCCGACGCGCTCCCACAGTGAGCGACGCTGGAGTTGGTGTTCGGATAGGGGACCAGAGTCCCCAAGCCTAGAAGCACTTTTAGCAACCCGGGAGGGCTGGACTCCCGGGGCTGCAGCACCAGGGAACCCGGGCGGCGGAGTGTGCGCCAGCTCGGCGGGGCCAAAGCCCGCGGACTCGGTGGCGCTCGGGTCGGGGTGGGGCGGGGCAGACACTCACCAACCCCGTACTTCTGCCTCTTGGTCGGGATCCAGCGGGCCATGGC